CAGCTAAATTGTCAGAGATGTTGCATGCATGTAAATAACAGAGGTGTTTCTGGTAAAAATAAATCATATTTTAATAAATCAGTATACAATCAATGCAATTGTTGTCGTACATGTGCTTCTATTAGAGATGTTGTCATAATAGAGCATATATGGTATACAATCTAAATGCAACCAGAGTGAAATTGTTTTTGAAATTAATATTGAAATGCAGATATTAATTTTCCCTCTGCTATTAATTAATCCACAAACCAGAATCATTGACATCTATTTATATATGACCTAGTTTCTTCTTGTTCTCTGTGCCCCCTTATCTTGGCAAGAAGAATTGGCATACTTATGACGCAGTAATTCAAGTGAAACAGCTGATGGAAACCTATTTTTTCCTAAGTCATATAGTGACAAATATTTTTTGTTTACACTGGTGAAGCAACAATTTTTTTTTAAGAACCCTTCACTTCGCAATTTTTTTTTTAAATTCTGACCTCTCCCCTCAAAAATCAAATGGTCCAACCCTTACTGTACTCCTTCTGTCATGATTGGATCGACGACGGTTCTTGGCAACAATGACGTTGTTTGAACACCTACGGTCAGGATATGACGCGTAACTGACGCCTTTAACAGACAGGCCGTCGGCGTAATGACGTCATATCAAATCATACACGCCGTGCATGTTGAACAAGTTTTCAGTCGATTCATAAAGTAAAAAGTATTACTTTGCATTACCTGAAGCGCATTATAATGTGCCAAATTTATATGTGTGCGTGCAAGTTGAGTTTATTTTTGTTATAAATCTCCCGAATTCTTATGACTAAGCATTCAAAGCATGATGCAATCGACATATGGGCATATCGCCATTTTTTATCATTGGGCAATTTGTATGTACAATCTCCATAATAATGAAACATGTTTTTGAACTTCCGTTCATTTTTTTGGAATGTCGGAAATTCAAACCACTTTCATCGTTAATCAAATACACCGCTTATCTAAGCATATTATTGAAATTTTTCAATTTGATTGAAAGCAAAAAAAACAGAGAATGGCGTCCACACGCCAATTGTGAAAATGTCAGATATAAGTGTAGCCGTTCATTTGGTAAACATTCTGGATATCGTGAATTGAGTGTACTTAGAAATCAAGTAGTTACACTGAGTGACATACTTTGTGTTAAATGAATTGATAAAAATGACAGACTAGCATATTCAGTTCCGTGTTTTCTTAATCTGCATTTTTGTCCATAAGTATACCTCATTCCACCATGGTTGTTACAAGAATAATACGTATATTATTTATATATGAAGATATTTGTATTGAACGTCGACGTCCTCGACACGTTTCTGTTTTACACCTACTAGTGGCGTTGCACACATAACATAGCCGTATACAACCACATTTTATTTGTCAGACTTCATGCCAAAGATATATTACCAAGTTATTAGTATGATGTCATCGCTTTTCTTTTGTTGTTGTTTAAAATAAAAAAAAATTACATTACATTACATTACAAGCAGTTCATGATCAGCGCAGTATTCCGACAATGCGAAACTAAAAGTCGGCGACATTGACCGATTTTTCTTAAAGTGAAGTAGAGATTTATATTAAAATGGATGTGTCACACCCTTTTATTTTAGCTCAGACCTAGGGGTATGTGAAGTACTTACGCATGTGATGGGGATATGTAAACGTTTTAATTAAAATGTTTTAGTGTTTTTAGTATTTCTACAGTCTCGGCTATATATTTTTAACATTCCGGCCTCTACCACAAGTAAATACCAAACTATAGAGGTAGTACGCCAGAGCCTTTATATTTTAAAATGAGCATTATCCACGTTTCGGTTTTATTCAGATGGATAAACTTGATTTAAAAATTTCATACCATATATGTTGAATATTCATTTGAACAGGGACTCCAGGTATTGTTTATAACAATCTATATAATGTTGTGTTTATATATCATGCTGCAAAGAAGAGCTAGAGTCCTTATTGTTTTAACGACGCCTTGTTTGACACATTGTAATAGAAGGACAATGCAAACCAAATGTTTTTTTGTATATATAAAATAAACTTCAATGTAGTGTGACAGTTTTAAAGTAAATAAAACATAAATTTAGTAACTATTTAAGTTTGAATCTCAAACAAGTTGAGAGAATGACCAATTAGTATAATGAGTCATCAAGGGAAAATGTTATAGACACCTATATTACAGTGATTATAAACAGACAGATTAACATGATGTAAAACGGTATTTATGCTTTAAAATGTAAAGAGTAGAAAGCCAGAACAATGCAAAACATTTCAAAGGCTCCGTGTGTCCATGAACGCGCAACTATACTTTAAAAACATATGTCTCTGAAGTCTGTGATCAAATTGAAAATTTGTCATAAATGTTACCACCGTTAGTTTACTCGGTGTAGTCAACTTTATGAAAAGACAACAGATGAAAAACAGCTTTCAATGAGACGCCAATAAAAGTACCCTTTATCGTTACTCGACGATGGGCAATTAATTATGGAAGCCAGGAAGTGGTCACCGCGGTGATTAGTTCCGTCTAAAGTGCTTTCCGTTCAATCCGTCAGTAAATCAACATGCAGACGCATATTTTGACGTCAAATTTATTGGTTGTCATTGTGTTATTGCATTCAAAAAGCTTTTTAATATGTCGAATTTTACCAATGAATTCAACTTTTCACTCATTGATAAAATGTTTTCGCAATTGTGTGTACTCAGATAGAATGTCATATATTTGTCATATTGGTAATTAACAGTGGCGGTGCAACGACGTTGACTCCGTTCCATAATCTCGCCGCTGAGCTTTCGTGACTCGATGAGCGGCTTATGTTCCTGTGTATAATTAGCAAATGCCGTTGAGGGCAGTATAATAGAGACGGCAAGCGCGAGAGGCAGAGACTGAAAATCGAGCCTATATTGTCCGTTGTTCTAGCATCACTAAATTGCATTGCTTGGAAACAGTGACCGACATACCAAGATATTAGCGTGCCACATTATAATTAGACGTCGGGTTATGCAAATCTATTTTAACAACCGAGCCTAAGTCAGATAATATAGATCTGATAAAAAAAACACATACTTTTTTACACAGTTTCGATCGAATCGACAAGTGCGAAGATGTGGCAGCAGCTAGACATGCGCTTGCGTGGTTGATCGATATATACTATGCTTCGACACATGGTCATTGGTTTTACGTATGCAATTTAATAACTTGTTAATCACAGAGTTTTAGCCAATCTACCCGACTTTAATAATATGATATTAATGATTGAAGTGTACGATTCGTGTTTAAGGTTCTTATTGAATTAGAACTGCTGAAGTTGGAATATTATCATTTAACTACATCGTTTCAGGCAATAATATTGATTGTAATAAACAGCCTTTCGCCAAGCGTGTGAAAGTGACGTTTGGTACCGATTGAGCAATAGTACAAGCACTATACTAATACAAATGAAAACAAAACATAAAGAAAATACATAATAGTACAAAACAAAGACGAAAGTGTGAAAAGCGAACTGAGTTTTTGTTTTGACTATATGAATACTGTATATGGCATTATTTTTCTATATTAGAATGCAAGCAAATCGTACGCACCAACATTTGTTTATGAACAAAACTTGGCGATTTCTAGCTGTCCAACATTTATTCACAAATATGCAAGATATTATCTATATTACATTTTAAGTTATTCAGAATACAATTAACTCACCACTCACGGTCGTGTTGTGTCCACCTCTTCGGGTAGCGATCATACCAACTTCTGAAGGCCGGGCATCCGGCATATTAGATGACGTCACCGCGTGCCATTAATTGGTCTTCTGAGATCCATTCCGTCACTGTGATGCAAATTGACTGTAATTTAACTGCTTATTGAATCGCACATTATTAATTCAGTCAAATTGATTGGCAATAAGGCAAAATGATATAAAATAATTGCTTTTTTATAATTATTAATTTCCCTCTCACCCCTGTTAATTTACCCGTGTGTCGGTGTTATCGCGTCGTTGCTTAGTGTACCACATAGGAGCGTCAATGTAGTCTTAGTCGTGGATTCAACCCGTCGTTTCTTTCTGCTTGGTAAACTTATATAACTGTTGCATGAATCGTTGAATGACATGCTCTGTAATCCATTGTCGTCCATTTCACCTAAAGTATTAGGGATATATTAATGGACTTAATTTGTGTTTTTTTATGACATTCCATAGAAAGCACGAGCTTTGGAGTTCAAGTACAACCTCTGTCTGACAGTGATAAGTCACGATAACCACCATAATGCATTTCGCATTTAGCCAAATAACCATAATTGAATGTCATATCAACAGTTCTGGACATGAAAATGTAAGAGACACGTTTCAGGAAAGGAAATATTTTGAAAAATCGACACAAAATGAGAAACAGCCATTCACATGATTTTGTCTTATTGTGTCACGACATTCAAGTAAGTGACGTCACACACAGATAGTCGGTTTCCGCAATAATTAATTATTAATCTCCATTGACGAGATAAAATGATTTTTTTTAGCCAGGC